CTTCTCTTCCCGCTGTCCTACCTTTCGTGTCTCCCTTCTCTCAAGTGATAATATAATATATATATATATCGCCCACATGGACACCCGAAACCTATATAATTACCGTCATATACCTATCATTTTAGTCAAGATGGCAGTCCAATATGGAGTGTCTGGGAGAAAAACATGTTGGCATGTTGGCACGCTTCACCGACACGCTTCCAATGGCACGGGAAGCAACACCGTTCACTCGTTCTCCTTGGGTGGTTCACATCGAGGCGGATCCAACAAGTCATCGAGGTCACCAAGGCCAGCGTACAAGTGCCATGGCCGATGTCGCCCGCGAATTGGCCGGGGGCTTCCGGGGAGAAACGGAGAGCATTTGCTGGGAGGGACGGGCGGGCGAAGGTGAAGGGGTTGAGATGTTTCCAGATTTGGGAGACAACATGGTATACGGTATTAGGTCGTGGTATTAGGTATATAAGGTATCGGTATTCGGTATATGATTCTTTGTATGGGCACTTGCTTTTGAGGCAAGTGGTGTAAAGTCTGGAAGGAAATAGCCTCAGGTCCTTGATAGCTAAACTTTGTAGGCACACTCTCGTGGGTATTCTATGGGCTAGCTATATGTTTAATGATACCTTCATGGACAATACTGCAATCACTTTGCACTGCAGAAATCATCACTGACATCACTGAATGGGCGGGATTCATGTGTTAGGAAAGGAAACTTGCATTGTTCTGAGATTGAAAAGGTTGAAAAAGCTTTTGCCATGCGCACGAATGTTTCTGTTTCAATGATAAAGGGGGACCAAGCAAAGCAATCAGCACTTGAGGTGCATGATGCAGTGCATGAGCAGTGCACCATTTTATCATCATCATCGTCGTCGTCGTCCTCATCATCATCATCATCGTCATCATCATCATCATTAGCATGTGTCGTCAGGGTTGCGGCATTGGATATTTTTTCCCATCGCTTCGCAGAATCACCCCCAATAGATACAGAGCCTGGGACAAAAACATTCGGATGCAGACCTGACCTTTGACAACCGTCGACTTTTTTTGGGATTGTCCCGCATTCCTCTCGGACTTTTGACAGGACCCAAAGCAACGTGTGTATTTGTGACTGGCTTCACAGTCACCCATTGGCCACCCATCATCCGCCACCCGTCCGCAGTGCTGACCGGCTTAACAGACCCAGGCGGCGGTGCAAGCGTTGCAGACCTTCGACTGGGATGTGCCACGCGCCGTGGAGAAGATCTTGTCTGCACACGAGGCGGGGGAAGTGACCCGTTTCGGTGACGAGTCGTGGATGCAGAGGCAGAGAAGTTCAAAGCCATGTTTTGAGGTGAAGGATTTGGGTTTGAAGCAGGGTTCCAGGGCTATGATCCAATCCTACGACGAAACAACTGCCACTGAGACCGGGAACTTGGCCAGTGTTTTGTGGATTGTTGTTGTTGTTGTTGTTGTTGTTGTTGTTGTTGTTGTTCTTGCTCTTGTTTTTGTTTTTGTTCTTGTTCTTGTTGTTGTTGTTGTTGTTGTTGTTGTTGTTGTTGTTGTTGTTGTTTTGGAAGTTTAGAAGAATGTACTGTGAGTTGTGCTGTGTATTGTTGTGCGTGTTCGAGACAAAATATTTTGAGCTTGCAACTGATGGACACAGCCGCAGCGCTGAAGAAACCTTCCAAATCTCCACAGTTTAGGGGGCCAACTCCCTGTGATCAAGTCATTTGCTCCAAACTTTTTGCGGGGATCCTCGAGGGAGTCTCATGTTCGGAGCGTTTTGAACGAGATTTGGGAGCACATGACGGTCAACAGATTGTCCACGATGGCTTTGATGATTTGTTTACCTAAAGAAACTTACAACCTATAAATTTGTCATACTCCTGGGTAAACATCGTCTTTCTGCTGAATCTGGACAAAACATCGTGTTTTCAAAAAAAAACTCGTGTTTTCTTGTTTTCCACCAGGAAGCTATATAAATCAATGCTTTCATTCTTTTGAATGCGTGTTTGAAGAACCAGAAGGTTGACCAATGTACCTCGCTGCTGGCACAAGGGGTGACCACAAGCGATGGGGCTTGTGCGTGTACACGATGTCACATACCGGTCCAGCAGAACAAGTCACATACCGGTCGGAAATTGCAAGGTGGGACATGAACATATATAACATCTCAGGGACCCAAGTTTGGTTTAAGCTCTATATGCTTGGAAAGGTGTCGGAAGTATATGTGCATGGTTCTTTGAAACCATCGTGCGACTGATGAACAGATTTCTTGCCCCGCCCGTCATGTGGCGGCTGTGGCTTTTTCTACGCTCGGCGTTGCATCCATCCAGACGAAGGCGGGCCACATCGGAGCGCCTGCTGGATCAGCGACAGTTGAGCGGTGGTATGCAATGACGATGGCTTGATTGCACGGGGCAAGGGCCAGTGAGGGGTGTAGAGATTGAACTCAGTCCCAAAACCAAACTCATGAAACCCCGTGATCCCCCGATATCCATCGAAGCACCTTTTGGCTCAAACTCGTGAACAAACTCTTTGTGTGACCGTTGGTATCGCACCACTTGCTTCGTGGTGATGAGCGCAGAGAGCATTCACTCATCTCAGTCAGAGTCCCGGCCAAAGCTTGATGTGAAGGACATCCACAAGGAATGGCTCATGGTCTCTGAGCTGCGGGACCACTTACGGGAGCAAGACTCCGTGCTGTTTGAGAAGGGGTTGTCTGAAAACATCAAGATTTGCATCATGGAACCGTTCTATCAGCTTCTTCAACCACTCCTTTGCCGAATGGCTGAGAAGCGGGGAAACCCACAACCTACAGTGGACCCTTTACGACAAGAACTAGAGAGCCTCTACCGTCTCTACAAGGGGCCCACATGGACAAATGATGAGCAAATCGTTCATGATTCATGGATGGTCAGAAAGCTGCTAGGCTTCGTAAAGATGAAGACTCGAATTGGAAAACCATCCATCGCACCTTGATTAAATATTTTTTTTTGCACGGGGTATCCTACGTTGATGACATCTTGCGGCCCAGCTCTGCTCTGTAGATAGCGTTGACTGCCCCGGCCCCAGGCACGAAGATTTCAGAATCTTTGCCTGATCTTGAATCCATTGATGCAGGAACTGGGTTGATTTTGCTTACATAGCAATTTGCGTGTTAAAAACATTGATATCAAGCAAAGAGACACCAGTCTATATATGCATGGACCAACGCATCAACCCTTTTTTGAGGAGAGCGTGGATAAGATCAACAAACGCCAGGCATTGAAGAAGCGCGCCAAAACTGAGGCCTGTGGGAATGAAACATGACAGCAGCCTGCGAACAGTTGACCAGACCAATTTTGTACTTGCTGAGAATCGGTCTTGAAAACTTCCAAGGCCATCAGGTTATAAACATCTTGTCCATGATTCAGCAGAAACACGATGTTTACCCATGGGTTTGTCATTTTCTTCAGGTATATATACATGTGCCCTGTATCCTAATCAGTCCAACATTTTGACACAGGCCGACCAGGATGAGGACCCGGATGCCTATGAGAGCAGCGAGGAGAGCGATCGGGATCAGGGAAATGACAGTCAGTTCCCGGATCCTCCCGCTCCCTCACAGACTGCCGCTGACCTTCCTTCACCTCCAGCTCCCCCCCAAGAGCCTTCAGCTTCCACATTGCAGCCACCAACGACTCCTGCAACGGAAACGGCAACAGGCGAATCAGGTGTCTTTGTTGCATGTGCCATGGAATATGGGTCACATATCAGCACCTCGATGTTTGCATGGGGCTATTTATATGTGCTTCTGCCATCATTCTTATAGGCAATGCGCTATCGGGTTTATATCCTATCGAAACCATTGCTTTCTCGAGATGAGCCCTGGTATAGTCCAACCTCAGGTGATGCTGGTGCTGAATCGCTTGATCAAAGATTGGAGCTGGCCAAGAAGCGGTTGGCCGAGCTTGAAGCTTATATATGTGCATCCATTTGTTGATGCAAGAACATAGATATTCGATGGAAAATGTACACATGCCTTTAATCATGCGTGTTCATATTATATATTGGCATCAACCTGAGGCTGAGAGCGAAAAAGGCTATGCCTGCTGCTCCTGCTCCTATAGCTCCTGCTCCAAAACAAGCGGCAAACGCAGGACGGTACGGTTCAACACTTGTTGTATTGTTCCCACGCATGGCTTCTCTGCATGGTTCGGCTTTACAAAACAAACCTGGGCAGGAGCGACTGGAGTGACGGACGTGCAGGAAACGGTTCCAATGGGAGATGACAGTCTTGAACACGGTATGATCGCAGCAGCAGTGGAACCAGAGCCTTCTTCCTCGCCGGCGATGACAGCTGCAGAGCGCCGCGAGCAGTACCAGGGCACGGAGAAAGGGTCTCCAACTCTAGCGGGACCAATGGAAGTGGCAAATGGTAGCGCTTTGCAACACTTGTTTTTTCTACACAACCTGCCGTGAAGCAGCCCACTGCAGAATCCGTTTCTTGGACTTGCCAGATTGTGTGGGTCTGTGGTGTGGCTGAGGTTATGCTCAACGTTTTTCATAGTTTATTCATGTCCGAACACCTCAGAACCTGTTCATTTTTTGTTCAGCCTTATGCTCAATCGCCAGGTTCATCCAAAGGCCGATGCCACCGGGAATGATGTGGAAATGGGTGGAGCAAATGCATCTCCTCCTGCCGGTGAACCTCGTGCCGGTGAACCTCGCGCCGGTGAACCTCGTGCCGGTGAACCTGCTGCCGGTGAACCTGCTGCCGGTGAACCTGCTGCCGGTGAACCTGCTGCCGGTGAACCTGCTGCCGGTGAACCTGCTGCCACATCTCGGCGGTACGTCTCGAGGGACCAGCAGTTGCGGTTCAAGCAGGCGAAGAAGGGCGCCAGGAAGTCCAAGAAGGATGGCAAGAAGAACAAAAAGAACAAGAAAGCCAACAAGAAAGCCAACAAGAAAGCCAAAAAGGGCAAGGGTCAGAAGGCCAAGGCCAACCGACAGAAGAAGATTAAGAAAGCCACCACAGGTGAGGAAGAGCAACAATCTCAGACCGCCGTGAAGGGGCGAGTGAGCCGGAAGCGAAAGATCTTGAAGGCAAGCTCATCCACCCTTGATCAGTCTGAGGTGGAAAAGCCAAAATATCAAAAGGCAAAGGCTCCAAAAGAGCAGGCAAAGAAGCAACGGAAAGCCGAGCCGAAGATGAATGCAAGAGCCAAGGCCAAGGCAGCCCGAGTCAAGCCTGAGAAGGCTGAGGATGGAGCCCCAAAACCAAAGAGAGGAAGGGGAGCCATCAAGATCACGGCTGAGGATGCACTTGTAAGGAACCCCATGCGCATGGATGAAGTGGTGAAAGCTTTGATGGATTGGGCTCAGCAGTTCCCTGAGGAACTGGAGCGTGATGAAGATACATTGCGGAGCAAAGTGCGAGAGGCGCTGTTTCCCCTCAAGAAGACACAATTGAACATCTACTGGTCCCGCAACGCAGTGGGAGTCAAGATTTGGAGTGATGAGTGGGGCTTTCAGGGAAAGGACGAGGTGAGCTTTAGCTTCAACTGCAGTTCCGCCCCACGTCGCCTCAAATTGGGGGTCGCAGTGCGCTGTGCAGAGCTTTGTGCCCCTTGTCTTGTCTTGTCTTGCTTTTTATAGTTTTGAAGGGCTGCCACGCTATAATGTATACTATACTGGCCCAACCATCACACCGAGAAGAAAAGTGTCTCCTTAAGTCACGAGTCTTTGGAGTCATGAGCCCTCGATCCACAGTTCACTTGAAATGCATGACTTCAGCTCTGACAGCGCAGGCTTTGGGGATTGATGCTGGACAGCCTGGCTTCGACACTAGGCATGGCGAGGAGTTCCTGCGGCTCAAGGCAAACGGAGCTATCGCATTGTTCTTCTTCGCAAACGAGGACAAGAATGACTTGTTTGCGGATCATGCCTGAGATGAGACTGTGGTTTTGTTTTGATCACTGTGCGCATCCGCGCAGTGTCCATGGATGGGTTTATTGTACCTATCGCACGCCTAGGGCCAGGTAGGCTCCCTCGCAGACCTCTTAGGACATGTATACTTTATGCAGTGCAGTTGTTCGATATATTCCAAAAATGAACTGTGCCATTCATTGTGAACTGCTCCAAACTGAAATATTTGTCTGTCTGGCTAGCGTGTGGCCGGTACATTTGGGTAGCAGCTGTATACGCAGTCATGCACGCAGCGCCGCAAGGGTTCAAAAATATGAGCCTATAATCTGTGTTGATCCGTTTTGTGCTTTCCATTCATCGACCGGACCA